TACTTGAGTTTCCTAGCCTCCAATTCAGACATTGCAAACGATTTTATAGCCTTGGAAGACCATCTTGCTTTCATCAAAGAAAATCAGCAATGAAATAATGACAACCAAACGGGAAAATGAAGTAGAGTGAAAATAAAATTTGGGCGATACTACTCACTTGGGAAATTTTTGGCCAGGAGAAGCACGCTCTGGTTTTCTGTTATCAGAAAAACAAAATTCAAACTTAAAACCCAAAAGGAGGCAAATCAATTCCGAATTGGGAACTGAAAAAAAAAAAGACTTACGCCGTGGGAAGGCTAACGGAGACAGTGACGGCTAGGGGCCGGCGCCGTGAAACAGGCACGTGATTTCTGAGATTGAGACTGCATGATGAGACCCTAAGCTCAGTTCCAAGCAACGAACTTTGAGGACTCTCTAGCGTCAAAATCTGGCCCAAACGAGCTCCAGTATCGGACCGGAATATCAGACTCGCCGCGCAATGGTAGAAGTGTGCACAAGCCATTTGACGACAAATTAATGCCACAGCTTGGGACTGGATAAAGCTATTTTAAGCATAAGAAACATACGCCGTGTATGTTGACNTATTTTACAAGTCTTGCATCTTTTCTTATGCTGACCTAGTTCTAATAGCGGCAAAACAAAGTCGTTTTGGCCTTTCAAAGTCAAGTTTTCACTGACTCAGTTTTGGAAACACTAAATCCCAAACTGTGTGGGAACCAGACTCGATAATCCCCATTTTGAGACAACGAGCAATTGGAAACACATCCTCTTAGTCTAATCATCATCACCACCACACCAGTGTTGTATTTTACTCTACACTCTCCGTTTTGTTGTATGACATTTCTCCCTTACCTGAGTGACCTCGGTTCTTAGTTTATCATTTCTTGTTTGGTTGGGAGCTATATGGATGTTGTTCTTTGACTGTGGGTGTGTGCTGGATTCTTGTCCGGCAGGGTGCTTGGGTATTGGTGCATGTTGGAAATGTTTTTGGGTGGTTGTCTGCATGCTGTGCTTGGATTGTTCTCTGTTGTTCTCAAATTGCTGACCAAAATAAGGCTTCAAACACTACTAGAGGTGGTATAAAAAGCAGTTGGTTCAAGAGGTGGAAGCAATAACTGAGTTACAAATCAGTCAGACTGAGTACTGAGTACAAATCATTCATGATCAGTCGTGAAGTATTTGAAGATGAATTTAATGTTAAGAGACTGAATTAGTTGAAGTTACTTCTTGATTAACTAAATTTAGAAGTCATTCTTCTCATAATAGTTTTCAAACTCCTGATGCATGAATTTCCATTTCCACAACTGTGTGTTTAGTTGACTCACAAGCAAGGTCATTTTCCAGAGAACTCAGAAAAATTGGGAGTAAATTCGCCTGAACTCAAATAAACTTGAGTTCAGCACCGGTAAGAAAGTGAACTTGGATGCCCCTTTTCACTGTACACTCAGAAAAATGACAGCACCCAAGTCACTTTTGGGTTGTGATTACATTCAGAAATGGTAAATATCTGAAAACCACATAGGGTTTTCACTTACTATGGACAAGGACATTATATCACAACAATACTAATGTGTTATAATTGATTGGTGAACATTTTACAACTATAGATTTTATTTTTATTACAATCTTTTTATCATTTTAAATAATTTAATCTCCTTTTATGGTAAAATTTATGCTTATTCGTGTTTTTTTATCAGTCAAACAATTTAGTCAAGTTTATATACAATTATAATTTTTGTACATTAAAATTCACCTCAAAGTACATGTACCCTGGACTTTTGAAACATCATGTACCCTAAACCCATAGCAAAACTACATGAACTGAATGACTATCAATTTCTAAATGTTTATATTAAAAATGGTATATATAATTTTTATCATACAACTCTTAATTAATTAACATTAGTTTAGTGGTAAAGCAATTTGTACATCCTTTTCATGTCTTTGGTTCCATACCCACCAAGGCCAATCCTAATTTCAATCAGTTATTTTCCAATTTGATTCAATTACCATGCATGTGATCGTGAGTGATGCTAGGCAATTTGAACACTTAAATTTTTTCATTGTTCACAAGTTTAAAATTCATGTGCATGTGAGTGTATGAGGTTGGACAATGTGCCTCAAAAAGTGAAGCTGGTGAGTGCTGCAAGTACTCCACAGATTGCAGTGTGCTGCAAAATGTGATGGGGGAGGCAGTCATAGGTCTAGAGTCACAAAGTAATCATACTTGGAAATCAGATAAACTAGGCAATGGAGTTAGACAGTTGCGACTGGTTTAGAACTGACTTTTGTAGCTTTAACTACTTCAACTGAACTTTTTTTGGATTTAATTAAATGATTAAAGTGATTATAAGTTCGGTTTCCAATTAAATATGTCAGACAAAACAATCAAATGAGTATTAAAACAATACTTGTACATGTATCCAATACCATAATCACATCCATGCATTTAATGTAGGTATCTAGCAAGCCTGATCCTTCTCTTAAGATACTTAAATCTACAACAGCATGGTTTATATTTTAATCTATGTAGAGGTGAACCTTACTAGGACATCTAACACTCTACAGAAACCTCTGATTACCAGGCTTAACTCCAACTGTGTCCCTAACCAATTAGGTGACTTAGATCATTTCCTTGGTGCTGAGGTCAAGCGCTTACACAATGGCTCTCTTCTACTTTCTCAGGGAAACTATATTAGGGACTTACTGCACAAAGAAATAATGTAAGATTCCAACATCTTTACTCCTCAGCTAGGAGGCATCAAATGCTGACTATATGGAAGATCCAGCCATTTATCGTTCAACTGTAGGTGTACTGCAACACATCACCTCCACCAAACCTGAATTAAGCTATAGGATCAACTGCTAAGATCAGACAATCTAATACACCCACCAGACGGTCTAATTCATGTAAGATCACCTAATAACAAACACACCAAGTTAAGTGAATTAATATTACATAAAATATTTCATACATGTGTGTTCATATAGTTGAAGGACCTCAAGATAAGTTTGTTTTTCTCTCAGATTAGACAACCTATAGGATCTCATCCGACACTATCAGACAACATCTAATACATCAAATCATATTAGAATAAAATCAATCAAGCCGTAATGATAAATGTTCTACAGTCAAAGTTAAATTATGTTCAAATGGTTATTTTATCCTTGATTAAATTGGTTTTACTGAAATCAACATCTTTATAAACAACTCTTTAGGAAACAAATAAACTTATGTGCTGCTGATTATCCATGTTTGATTACACTTAATAATTATATATGCATATTCTATTTGAATTGTTTCCTTTAGCAAATTTAAATATGAATGTTGATAAGATTAAATCAGATATTTCCAAAGCATTGTCTACCATAAAGATCAAACATACAACTTAGATCTCTACACAAAGACATTGCAAGATCCAAGCCTACCTTATGTAGAAGCAACGGTCAAGTTTTTAGATGCTATATAAAGAGATCAAGTTAAAGTTTGACGAACACAGATCAACGATTCATCTTATTTGTATACATTGTGTTCTTTGTTGGGTTGAGAGAAAACTTTGTAATTTGTAATTCTTCTTAATGTGAAACCTTCTCAATTAAGCTTAAATTGTGCTCCCTGTGAAAGTGCTTTTCTTTCTAGTCTTAAGATTGAGAGTTCTGAATCTCGGTGGGAGATTAAGAAGGAGTAACTTGGAGAAGTTTGTACACTGGTTGTAACATGGAGATGTTGGTATACTCATTGTAATCATTTTTGTTGATTAATAATAGAACCTCTTCAGTTGTGTGCTTAAGGGAGAACAAGCTGTAGGTTTCTATTTTTGGTAAATCAGTATAAAATCTTTTGTGTGGTTGTTCTTTGTGAAATAGACAGTCTAGTCTACTACTGTGCAAGAGAAGAAGTCTAACGCTCTATTCAACCCCCTTCTAGAACCAGTTATTCTAACATCAACAAGCAGTACTAGTCTATGACTCAACCCTTGGCTGAACATTGGAAGGCACTCAAACAAAATTTTTTGGACTTAAACGGCACTATCCATCATGGATTTTTTTATGCAACCAACTTGCACTCGATTACATCTTGCATACAATGATGCTAATTAGGCATCTGATATTACTTCAAGGGTTATGTCTTTCTTGCTCTCATCTCTCAGTGGTCCAAGAAGCAAAGCTTGGTAGCCTTTTCAAAGGCAGAAACAGAATACAAAAGTTTAGCCATGGAGACTGCATATATTATATGGGTTCAAGTCTTTACAAAGAGAACTCCAAGTTGCAGTATCCACTCCAATAATTTATGATGACAGCCAAAGCACAAAGCCCTCAACCCCTCATACATAATCATGTTCTTCAATCTCACATAAATCGTACCCTATTAGACATCGTTGTACATAAAAAAACCTTTCAACGTGTCTCTCTTTTACTCACATTCAGTGGAATGTGAGTCAACTCAAGACCAGAAAACAGACGTCCAAACGAGGGCTCTTTCAAAACTTCAATTTTCCTCTCTTCGAGACAACAGATGTCCCATGGAACCATAGTGTTTGTTAGCAATTAGATGTTATGTTTCTCTTTTTTTTTTTATTAAATGGATTTTTCTGTTTCAATAATGTGGTCAGCTGTGACCTATTATGTAGGAATATGGTGCTAAAATTTAGCCCGTGATTTTAGGAAACCACCCACGACTTTATGCATAGAGTTAGTGGGTGCTGAGTCTGTTTTTTCGTTTTTAGTTTTATGGCTATAAGGCCAAACGTCTGCATTTGAATTCAATAACACCACGAGATTACACAAAACAGAGAAAAAACCTTACCTTTGTGTTCAGTGTTTTGCATAAAAACTTAACAGGAAACCAATATCTATTATATCAAGGATATCCCGAATCCGCATTTTTGAGAGTAAGCTCCATAAAAAGTGTGTTAAGTTAAAATATCACTTCCCAAAACACAAACAAATTTTCCTAATCTCAATTCTTCCAAAATAAATCCTTCTAAAATCAATTCCACAAAATTGAAAAAAAACTAACACAGATATAGAAAATTTGCAATGTATAAAATTAGATAGTTACCCTCGATGAGAACCCCCATGAGAAGGGCTTCAGTTCCGGTAGTAGGATACTTGAGTTTCCTAGCCTCCAATTCAGACATTGCAAACGATTTTATAGCCTTGGAAGACCATCTTGCTTTCATCAAAGAAAATCAGCAATGAAATAATGACAACCAAACGGGAAAATGAAGTAGAGTGAAAATAAAATTTGGGCGATACTACTCACTTGGGAAATTTTTGGCCAGGAGAAGCACGCTCTGGTTTTCTGTTATCAGAAAAACAAAATTCAAACTTAAAACCCAAAAGGAGGCAAATCAATTCCGAATTGGGAACTGAAAAAAAAAAAGACTTACGCCGTGGGAAGGCTAACGGAGACAGTGACGGCTAGGGGCCGGCGCCGTGAAACAGGCACGTGATTTCTGAGATTGAGACTGCATGATGAGACCCTAAGCTCAGTTCCAAGCAACGAACTTTGAGGACTCTCTAGCGTCAAAATCTGGCCCAAACGAGCTCCAGTATCGGACCGGAATATCAGACTCGCCGCGCAATGGTAGAAGTGTGCACAAGCCATTTGACGACAAATTAATGCCACAGCTTGGGACTGGATAAAGCTATTTTAAGCATAAGAAACATACGCCGTGTATGTTGACATTATACTTTGGGTCGCATGCAAACCATCAGTTGGGTTTAGGGCCTCTAAGACACTCTTCTTGGGCCGAACATTTTTAAAAAGGTGAACCCAAAATTGATCTTTCTTTCTGCACCTTCAACTTTTCTTCCTACACCTCCAAACTTTTATAAATTCTTAAATTGATTTTATGACTAGAGTAAAAAACATTCTCTCATTTTATTTATCCCATTTCTACTCACTGAGACTTTTTCTTAACTCTATAACGTTGCATCACACAACCAAAAAGTCATTTTCTTCTCTCTCACCCATACACCTACACCTAGCATGCACTCACCCACTCACTCCAGAACACACCTTCAAGCCAAATATGTCACGAAAATTGAACAAAATACACATTTTTATTACATTTTTAAATTTATAAATGTTTAGTTGAAATATGTAATTATAAGAAATGAATTAAGAATTTAGGATTTAATATCAGATTTTAAAAAATGATTTAGGAGGGTATAATATTTCAAAATTTAATTAAAGAAATAATAGATATCCAGTTACACTCTTTGATCAAATTTAACCACCATTAAATTAGATTTTGAAAATTCAGTAAAATATTATACCAGATAAGATGTGTGTGTCTATGTCAGTGTGTGTCTGTGTGTATGTCTATATGTGTGCGTTTGTGTCTCTCTGTGTGTGTGTGAGAGAGAGTGTGTATGCGTCCGTGTCTGTGTGTGTTTGTGTGTCTATGTCTGTGTTTGTGTCTGTGTGTGTTTTAATTTATTTTCTATAAATTTTATTTATTGTTTGTATTTTTGTTTAAAATTTAGAACTTAGAGTTTAAGGTTTAAATATATATATATATATATATATATATATANCCCTGGACTTTTGAAACATCATGTACCCTAAACCCATAGCAAAACTACATGAACTGAATGACTATCAATTTCTAAATGTTTATATTAAAAATGGTATATATAATTTTTATCATACAACTCTTAATTAATTAACATTAGTTTAGTGGTAAAGCAATTTGTACATCCTTTTCATGTCTTTGGTTCCATACCCACCAAGGCCAATCCTAATTTCAATCAGTTATTTTCCAATTTGATTCAATTACCATGCATGTGATCGTGAGTGATGCTAGGCAATTTGAACACTTAAATTTTTTCATTGTTCACAAGTTTAAAATTCATGTGCATGTGAGTGTATGAGGTTGGACAATGTGCCTCAAAAAGTGAAGCTGGTGAGTGCTGCAAGTACTCCACAGATTGCAGTGTGCTGCAAAATGTGATGGGGGAGGCAGTCATAGGTCTAGAGTCACAAAGTAATCATACTTGGAAATCAGATAAACTAGGCAATGGAGTTAGACAGTTGCGACTGGTTTAGAACTGACTTTTGTAGCTTTAACTACTTCAACTGAACTTTTTTTGGATTTAATTAAATGATTAAAGTGATTATAAGTTCGGTTTCCAATTAAATATGTCAGACAAAACAATCAAATGAGTCTTAAAACAATACTTGTACATGTATCCAATACCATAATCACATCCATGCATTTAATGTAGGTATCTAGCAAGCCTGATCCTTCTCTTAAGATACTTAAATCTACAACAGCATGGTTTATATTTTAATCTATGTAGAGGTGAACCTTACTAGGACATCTAACACTCTACAGAAACCTCTGATTACCAGGCTTAACTCCAACTGTGTCCCTAACCAATTAGGTGACTTAGATCATTTCCTTGGTGCTGAGGTCAAGCGCTTACACAATGGCTCTCTTCTACTTTCTCAGGGAAACTATATTAGGGACTTACTGCACAAAGAAATAATGTAAGATTCCAACATCTTTACTCCTCAGCTAGGAGGCATCAAATGCTGACTATATGGAAGATCCAGCCATTTATCGTTCAACTGTAGGTGTACTGCAACACATCACCTCCACCAAACCTGAATTAAGCTATAGGATCAACTGCTAAGATCAGACAATCTAATACACCCACCAGACGGTCTAATTCATGTAAGATCACCTAATAACAAACACACCAAGTTAAGTGAATTAATATTACATAAAATATTTCATACATGTGTGTTCATATAGTTGAAGGACCTCAAGATAAGTTTGTTTTTCTCTCAGATTAGACAACCTATAGGATCTCATCCGACACTATCAGACAACATCTAATACATCAAATCATATTAGAATAAAATCAATCAAGCCGTAATGATAAATGTTCTACAGTCAAAGTTAAATTATGTTCAAATGGTTATTTTATCCTTGATTAAATTGGTTTTACTGAAATCAACATCTTTATAAACAACTCTTTAGGAAACAAATAAACTTATGTGCTGCTGATTATCCATGTTTGATTACACTTAATAATTATATATGCATATTCTATTTGAATTGTTTCCTTTAGCAAATTTAAATATGAATGTTGATAAGATTAAATCAGATATTTCCAAAGCATTGTCTACCATAAAGATCAAACATACAACTTAGATCTCTACACAAAGACATTGCAAGATCCAAGCCTACCTTATGTAGAAGCAACGGTCAAGTTTTTAGATGCTATATAAAGAGATCAAGTTAAAGTTTGACGAACACAGATCAACGATTCATCTTATTTGTATACATTGTGTTCTTTGTTGGGTTGAGAGAAAACTTTGTAATTTGTAATTCTTCTTAATGTGAAACCTTCTCAATTAAGCTTAAATTGTGCTCCCTGTGAAAGTGCTTTTCTTTCTAGTCTTAAGATTGAGAGTTCTGAATCTCGGTGGGAGATTAAGAAGGAGTAACTTGGAGAAGTTTGTACACTGGTTGTAACATGGAGATGTTGGTATACTCATTGTAATCATTTTTGTTGATTAATAATAGAACCTCTTCAGTTGTGTGCTTAAGGGAGAACAAGCTGTAGGTTTCTATTTTTGGTAAATCAGTATAAAATCTTTTGTGTGGTTGTTCTTTGTGAAATAGACAGTCTAGTCTACTACTGTGCAAGAGAAGAAGTCTAACGCTCTATTCAACCCCCTTCTAGAACCAGTTATTCTAACATCAACAAGCAGTACTAGTCTATGACTCAACCCTTGGCTGAACATTAGAAGGCACTCAAACAAAATTTTTTGGACTTAAACGGCACTATCCATCATGGATTTTTTTATGCAACCAACTTGCACTCGATTACATCTTGCATACAATGATGCTAATTAGGCATCTGATATTACTTCAAGGGTTATGTCTTTCTTGCTCTCATCTCTCAGTGGTCCAAGAAGCAAAGCTTGGTAGCCTTTTCAAAGGCAGAAACAGAATACAAAAGTTTAGCCATGGAGACTGCATATATTATATGGGTTCAAGTCTTTACAAAGAGAACTCCAAGTTGCAGTATCCACTCCAATAATTTATGATGACAGCCAAAGCACAAAGCCCTCAACCCCTCATACATAATCATGTTCTTCAATCTCACATAAATCGTACCCTATTAGACATCGTTGTACATAAAAAAACCTTTCAACGTGTCTCTCTTTTACTCACATTCAGTGGAATGTGAGTCAACTCAAGACCAGAAAACAGACGTCCAAACGAGGGCTCTTTCAAAACTTCAATTTTCCTCTCTTCGAGACAACAGATGTCCCATGGAACCATAGTGTTTGTTAGCAATTAGATGTTATGTTTCTCTTTTTTTTTTTATTAAATGGATTTTTCTGTTTCAATAATGTGGTCAGCTGTGACCTATTATGTAGGAATATGGTGCTAAAATTTAGCCCGTGATTTTAGGAAACCACCCACGACTTTATGCATAGAGTTAGTGGGTGCTGAGTCTGTTTTTTCGTTTTTAGTTTTATGGCTATAAGGCCAAACGTCTGCATTTGAATTCAATAACACCACGAGATTACACAAAACAGAGAAAAAACCTTACCTTTGTGTTCAGTGTTTTGCATAAAAACTTAACAGGAAACCAATATCTATTATATCAAGGATATCCCGAATCCGCATTTTTGAGAGTAAGCTCCATAAAAATTGTGTTAAGTTAAAATATCACTTCCCAAAACACAAACAAATTTTCCTAATCTCAATTCTTCCAAAATAAATCCTTCTAAAATCAATTCCACAAAATTGAAAAAAAACTAACACAGATATAGAAAATTTGCAATGTATAAAATTAGATAGTTACCCTCGATGAGAACCCCCATGAGAAGGGCTTCAGTTCCGGTAGTAGGATACTTAAGTTTCCTAGCCTCCAATTCAGACATTGCAAACGATTTTATAGCCTTGGAAGACCATCTTGCTTTCAACAAAGAAAATCAGCAATGAAATAATGACAACCAAACGAGAAAATGAAGTAGAGTGAAAATAAAATTTGGGCGATACTACTCACTTGGGAAATTTTTGGCCAGGAGAAGCACGCTCTGGTTTTCTGTTATCAGAAAAACAAAATTCAAACTTAAAACCCAAAAGGAGGCAAATCAATTCCGAATTGGGAACTGAAAAAAAAAAAGACTTACGCCGTGGGAAGGCTAACGGAGACAGTGACGGCTAGGGGCCGGCGCCGTGAAACAGGCACGTGATTTCTGAGATTGAGACTGCATGATGAGACCCTAAGCTCAGTTCCAAGCAACGAACTTTGAGGACTCTCTAGCGTCAAAATCTGGCCCAAACGAGCTCCAGTATCGGACCGGAATATCAGACTCGCCGCGCAATGGTAGAAGTGTGCACAAGCCATTTGACGACAAATTAATGCCACAGCTTGGGACTGGATAAAGCTATTTTAAGCATAAGAAACATACGCCGTGTATGTTGACATTATACTTTGGGTCGCATGCAAACCATCAGTTGGGTTTAGGGCCTCTAAGACACTCTTCTTGGGCCGAACATTTTTAAAAAGGTGAACCCAAAATTGATCTTTCTTTCTGCACCTTCAACTTTTCTTCCTACACCTCCAAACTTTTATAAATTCTTAAATTGATTTTATGACTAGAGTAAAAAACATTCTCTCATTTTATTTATCCCATTTCTACTCACTGAGACTTTTTCTTAACTCTATAACGTTGCATCACACAACCAAAAAGTCATTTTCTTCTCTCTCACCCATACACCTACACCTAGCATGCACTCACCCACTCACTCCAGAACACACCTTCAAGCCAAATATGTCACGAAAATTGAACAAAATACACATTTTTATTACATTTTTAAATTTATAAATGTTTAGTTGAAATATGTAATTATAAGAAATGAATTAAGAATTTAGGATTTAATATCAGATTTTAAAAAATGATTTAGGAGGGTATAATATTTCAAAATTTAATTAAAGAAATAATAGATATCCAGTTACACTCTTTGATCAAATTTAACCACCATTAAATTAGATTTTGAAAATTCAGTAAAATATTATACCAGATAAGATGTGTGTGTCTATGTCAGTGTGTGTCTGTGTGTATGTCTATATGTGTGCGTTTGTGTCTCTCTGTGTGTGTGTGAGAGAGAGTGTGTATGCGTCCGTGTCTGTGTGTGTTTGTGTGTCTATGTCTGTGTTTGTGTCTGTGTGTGTTTTAATTTATTTTCTATAAATTTTATTTATTGTTTGTATTTTTGTTTAAAATTTAGAACTTAGAGTTTAAGGTTTAAATATATATATATATATATATATATATATA